CTGCTTCTCCCTCTGACCCTCCCCCCTCTCATGTACTCTCTCTCATTCTCGCTCTCTCAAATAAACAAATAAAATCTTAAAAAAAAAAAAAAGGAAAGAAAGAAAGAAAGAGATGAGTGAGCAGTTTCCTCTCTCCTCCCGCCTGTGCATCCTGAGCCCAGCTCTCCCACCCAGGGGAATGGAGTCATCCAGCCAAGACAAAAACCAGGCAGAGAACCTCCCACAGTTTCCTTCCATCTTTCTCATATAGAAAGGCTAGGGAACCTTCCCCAAAGTTGTCCTGTCAACTCCTATTTTCAGTGACTCAGGATTAATGACAATTTATTATGTGAACTTAAAAATCATGCACCAGCTTCTCCATCCACAGGAAGACCTTGGCTTAGACATGACAGTCATGTTTGAGCCAGTTAGACCCCAAGGTTGAATTTAAACCAAGGCCGGGCATTCAGGGTCCCGGACTAAAAAACACAGACCAGAGTGGTTGGATCCCCCAACTTCCTCCTGCTCCCACCCCAGCATCCCTGGCTCCCTGAGTCCCCTGTGTCTCTAGAAAGCCGACAGGAGCACCCTGGCAAGCAAGGCGAGCCGGGCCGACCTGGAGACAGTGGTGACAGAGCTGAACGAGATGATTCAGGGCATGCTCTTCAGGGTCGTGACCCATGAGGATGACTGGAAGAAAGCTCTGGAGCAGCTGAGCAAGGACCTGAGCACCAAGGTGAGTACCCCATAGCAGCCGTCACCTGCTGCGTAACAAGTAGCCCTGAAATGTGACACCTTGAAACGACAAGTGCTCAGAGTTGCTGAGGGCCAGGAATTGGGGAGCAGCTTAGCTGAGGGACTCAGATTCTCCCGTGAGGCTGCAGTCAAGAGGCCATCCAGGGCTTCAGACCACTAAAGTGCCATTTCCAAGATGGCACCCTCCTGTGGCTGTCAGCAAGACACTGTACTTCCTTGCCACTCAGACTTCTCCTCAAGTCTGCCTGAGTGGCATCACAACATGGTAGCCTACTTCCCCAGAGCGAGTGACCCAGGAGAGCCCTACGGGAGCTGTGTATTGTCTTCTAGGACAGCCACACTGCATCATTTCCGAAGCATCCTATGGTTCCACAAGTGAGCCCTACTCCGTGTGAGAGGGTGTGAGGACCGAGAGGTGTGGGCCAGGAGCACCTTGGAGGCTGACTACCATAACTCTCCTGCCTGGCCCAGCAAAGGGGCATGGCAGGGTGGCGGTGGGGGGCGGGGGAGATCTGCTGATCATTTATTTCTTCTTCTGTCATTTACTGACCACCTGTGATAAGCCAGACTCTGGAGAAATGTTGATAATGAGTCCCAGCCCCTGCCTTGATCAGGACTGTCCAGTAGAGAGACAGCAACAGTCAAACCAACAATTACAGTGCTGTGCAGCTCCTGAAGTTTGGGTTCAGAGTCCAGCAGCCCTGGGTGCAAGTCCCAGCTCCCCCTGAGTGGCCATGGGCCCCAAGTGGTATGACCTCCCTGAGCCTCAGCTTCCTCCTCCACAAAACGAGGATTTGTTCGTTCATCAACTGCACAGTAGGCACCTACAGTGGATGTAACGACAAGCAAAACAGATACGGACGTGTTTCTCTCAGGGACACACGTTCCTCATAAAAGTCACACAGATCAGTGCGGAATCGCAGCCTGAGTGAGTCCAGTCATCTACAGAAAACTGACCTACTTTTCTTCAATAATTCAATGATGGGGTGGGGAAAAGAGTGGAGACAGACACTGTTCTAGATTACAAGTGTCTCCAGAGACAAAACAACCAAACGCAGCTCATGAGGAGACCTGGCTTGTGGTCCTGGTTCAGTTGCGCCAACTCTACACATGGGCTGGGAATTGGTGCAAAGTCAGGAATTCCTGTTCGTGTGTTCGGTGTCCTGAGGGCGTTGCGGTCACGTAAGAAAATGTCCTCACGGTGGGGGGGCGTGGGGAAGCACAGTTGGTGGAGGCTCTGACTCTTGGTTTCAGCTCAGGTCGTGATCTCAGGGTCGTGAGATCGAGCCCCACGTCGGGCTCCATGCTCAGCGCAGGGTCAGCTTGAGATTCTCTCTCTCCCTCTGCCCCTCCCCATCTCAAAAATAAATAAATAAAGCTTAAAAAAAAAAAAAGAAAAAGAAAATGTCCTCATGAGTACTACGGTATTTATGAGTGAGGTATCATGGTCTTTCTGTTTTAGAGAAAGAGAACACATGGGGAGGTGGGGGAGGGAGAGAGAATCTCAAGCAGGCTCCACACCCAGCTGGTTAACCTTTAACCATTTTAAAAAGACTAAATCGGTGGCATTTTGTACATTTACAGTGTTGTGTAAGCACTACCTCTGTCCGGTGGTAAGACACTATCATCTCCCCAAAAAGAAGCCCATACCCATTTAGGCAGCACCCCCCCAGCCCCTGGGAACCACTGGCCTTCTTTCTGTCTCTGTGGGTTTGCCTATTCTAGACATTTCATATAAATGGAATCATACAAACTGTGACCTTTTGTGATTGGCTTCTGGCACTTAGCATCATATTTTCAAGGTTCATTTATGGATCAGATCTCCATTCTTTTTTACAGCTGAATACTAATTCCATCGACAAGAGAGACCACATTCTGTTTATTCATTCATCTGTTGATGGACACTTGGGTTGTTTCCACCTTTGACTATTATGAATAATGGTGCTGTGAACATACATGTACACATTTTTGTTTGAATGCCTGTTGTTAGTTCTTTTGGGTAGATAGCCAGGAGTGGAATTGTTGGGTCATATGGTAATCCTCTGTTTAACTTTTTATAGGTAGGGGTGATATATCATGTCTGCAATTCACTCTGAAATGATTCAGAAAATGAACGGATACACATATGTACAGATAAAGAAAATGTGGTAAAATGTTAAAAGTTGATTAAATGGATGTCCAAGTGTCCTTTGGACTATTCTTGCAACTTTTCTGTAGATTTAAAAGTTTTCAAAATAGGAAGCTGGGGGAAAGAGTCTTCTTGGGGTGCTGTGCACTTTGTCACCTTGGGTCGGCAGGTAGGTCATGCTGGCCGGTGGTCCCTTCAGTGGTGAAGCAGATTCATCAGAGCCCAGCGATGCTAGGCTGATGTCATCACTGTAAAGGTACATTCCCGCCTTATAAGCAGCAAGTGATTTGGGGGTGACCCTTTGGCACCCTGGAAATGTCTATTGCCTCATTGGCCATTCTTCTAGTGGCTTCCTCATAAATTGAGAATTGTTTCCTGAACTGGTTATTTCATGGTTGCAAAATGGTGAGTTCTCTAATCTTAGCACTGCTTCTCCATTTACTAGCTGGAAATCCATAAAGAAGAGCTCTCCCTCATCAGCTTGAGCCAATTACCCTGAAATATGGTTCTTGCAGGAAAGACAAGAACAATGATGAGCTATTTCCTTAATTACCGGTGTTCAGGAATGATATCACTGCTAAAGACACCTCCAATATATGGTGGCAAATGGAGGTTTCTGGGGTGTTTTTTTTTTTTTTTAATTTCTTTTTGTGAATGTCACTGTGAATCATGGGTTTTAATGTATTCAATTCGCTCAATCAGTTAAGTTACTATTTCTTTTGTCACTTACGTGTTCTCATCTTTGGCCTGTGAGCTGGCTTCTGAGCCCTTTGACTTGACCCTCTGTCTCAGAAAGCGGCCTTGGTTCCTTAAAGGACAAAATGTTCCAGGCTCATCTTCAACATTCCCTTCCTCAGACCTGATTCAGTCATTTCTCTACAGAGTCTCGGTTCCTGTTAGTGGGGAGTGGTGTTTAGAGACCAAACTGTGGGCACTGGAAGGAACACTTTAAACTACACCCAACAGGGGCGCCTGGGTGGCTCAGTCGTTACGCATCTGCCTTTGGCTCAGGTCATGATCCTGGGGTCCTGGGATCGAGCCCCGTGTTGGGCTCCCTGCTCTGCGGGAGGCCTGCTTCTCCCTCTCCCATTCCCCCTGCTTGTGTTCCTGCTCTCTCTGTGTTTCTCTCTGTCAAATAAATAAATAAAATCTTAAAAAAAAAAAAAAAGGAACATGTAAACTACGCCCAACATGGGGTTTGCACTCATGACCCCAAGATCAAGAGTCACATGCTAGATTTAAAAATTCACGAGTCCCACTGTGAAAACCAGTCTGGCAGTTTCTCAAAAAGATAAACATAGGGTCACCATACAACTCAGCACTTCCAGGCCCAGGTGTGTACCCAAGAGAAATGAAAATGGGTCCACACAAAAACTTGTACACAAATGTTCATAGCAGCATTACTCATAATAGCCAAAAAGTGGAAGCAACCCAAATGTCCATCAACAGATGGATGGATAAACAAATTGTGGTCTATCCATCCACAAACTGTGGTGGAATATTATTCAAACCATAAGAAGAAATGAAGCTCAGATTCATGCTGCCACCTGGGTGACCCTTGCAGACATGATGCTGAGTGAGAGAAACCAGACACCGAAGGCCATGGATTGTGTGATTCCATTTATATGAAATGTCCAGAACAGGCAAATCCATAGACAAAAACTGGATTAGTGGGTTGCCTACACCTGGGGGTTTGGAGCTCACTTCGCCACTTATAACAGCATCCATTAGGAGATGAACCTTAACCTAAGGTTCCTTTTTGTCATTTTCCTTTTCCTTGACCCCCTCACTGTTTCGGTTTAATCTTGTTACACTCTGTGTAACTTTGCTGCAACTCCTTTTCTGGAGTGAAGCAGTGTGGGGGTAGGGGGGTGGGGGGGCGGGGGGGTGAATTAGTTGACTAAATGCTCTTTTCCCTTCGGCTGTTTGCAGCTGGTCCACAGTGATTTGAATGGTCTGAAGAAAGACATGGATGAGATCTGGAAAGTACTCAGGAAGCTCCTGATTGAAGGCCTCCGATTTGACCCTGACAGTGCTGCTGGCTTTAGGAAGTGAGCCCCTCCTGGGTAGGGGTGCAGCTCCCAGAGGCTGGGGAGACCCTCTCTCCAGAGAGGAAACCAGAGGGGAATCCCAGCGGATTCTGGGAAGAAGGGTTCCAGACCTGTGGACCCAGGGGAAAGGGGTGGGACTTCCTGGCTTCGGGGAGGAGGGTGAAGGTGGGATGGAGCTGAGGGCACCGAGGGGCTCTGGCCTTGGCTGTCGAGGGGCTCCAGGAACCCATCTGCTCCAAAGCCCTCTTGCCACAAATGAAACCAAGCTCACAGAGGGTAGGGGCCATGCAAGGCCTCACAGAGAGCCTGGGGATCTGGGACTGGAGCCCTCTTGCCATGTCCCCCACCCCATCCAGATAGAGCCCCAGGCAGAGGGACTCAATGTTGGGGTGCGGAAGGAGGTCTCCTGTCCTCAGATGACCCCTCATCCTTCCAAATATCCCCTGTGTAGGGTAGCTTTCCAGAGGCCCCTGGTTTTAAAGACCTCCATTGTGTTGGGGGCAGGAACATTAACTACACACACTATCCCCTACCTGTGCCCCAGGCAGCCACAGGATAGGGATCAGCAGGGGCCAGCAGAGCCGACTTGAGCTGAGCTGGGCCAGGTCAGCGGGGGAGTAGGGTGTGGAGGGAGGTCCTGACCCTGAGGAACAGACAGACCTTCCCCCACGGTGCACCAGCTGACGGCTGGCTGTCTTCCAGGAAACTGTTTGAGCGGGTGAAATGCATCTCCTGCGACCGGCCAGTGGAGCTGATGACGGGCCCGTGAGTACCGCCGCCAGGGGGCGCCCACGCCCACCCGGTCTGTTTGGATTCCCCCCACCTACCCGCCTGGGGAGGTTCTAAGTCCATCATTTATCTGTCCGTCCGTCTGTATACATTATTCCGTACACTTGATTTCATTTGCTCCCGGTCCCGGGCAGGGGCACTTGGCATCCCCTCCTTCACCAGCCCTGCCTGGCGCCTGCTGTGTCCCATGCTCAAGATCAACTCCAAAAGCAAAAGGATAGAAGGAAACTGGGGAAAAGCTGAACTTTGTGGGACTTCCTTGCATGTATTTTTAGAGTCTAATACTTTTTATTTATTTAGGTGAAATTCACACACACACACCATTTTAAAGTGAACAGTTCAGTGTCATTGGGTGCACATTCACGATGATCTGCAACCATCACCTCTAATTCCAAAGCATTTTCATCTCCCTAAAAGGAAACCCCAGACTCATTAGCAGTCTCCCCCACCCCCGACAACCACTAACTTTCCATCTCTGTGGATTTGCCTATTCTGGACACTCCCTATGAATGAAGTCATACAACCTGTGACCTGGTTCTGGCTTCTTTCACTGAGCATCATGTTCTTAAGGTTCATCCACACTGGCAGGTGTCAGTGCCTCATTCCATTTTTTATGGCTGAATTGTATCACATTATATAAGCCGCCCACATTTTGTTTATCCACTTACACGCTGATGAACATTTGGATTGATTCATCTTTTAGCTCTTGCGATTAGTGCTGCTGTGAACATGCATGTACATAGATTGGCTGGAACACCCGCTTTCCGTATTTTGGGTATAAACCTGGAGGTGGTGGGAGTGCTGGGTCATGTGGTCCCTTGACGATTAACTCTTTGAAGAACCACCAAAAAACACTCTCATAGGGTTTAAGAGCCCGAATCTTGCAGTGCCCACGCTAGCCTGGCCCCCGTGACCCACGAAGCTCACCACCCTACATCATCAGTCCATGCTCATGGAGGGGCTTTGAGCCTATATCCAGATTTTTTGGTTAAACCCACAGATCCCTAGTTGCAGCGTTATTTATAATATTTTAAAAAGTAGGAAAGGAAACAATGTGAAGCGGTGAATGAGTTATGTACATTTACATCAGCTGATATAAGTCATGTTGTAGAAGGAGGTATAATGGAACCTTCTGAGATGTGGAAATGGTTGCAGCTACACCGTCCAACGCAGTAGCCAACAGCCACATAGGGCTAATGCGGCTGAAAATGGAATTTTGCATTTTATTTAAATTTATTTAAATTTAACCATAAATTTAAATAGCCGCCGGTGTCCAGTAGTTGCCATATTGGATGGCACAGTCGTGGAAGAATTATTTAGTGGCCTGGAAAAAGGTTCATAATAACTTAAATGAGAAAATCAAGTAGTTTGTGTGTGATCCTATTTTTGTTTTGTTTTGTTTTTTAGCAAGTTTTATTGAGTGATAGCAGTGATAGTATAAAGCTCCAAGGAGGGAGGGGGCCCAAAGGGGTTGCCCATGATCCTATTTTTGTTAAAAAAAAAAAAAAAATACAGGGGCACCTGGGTGGCTCAGTCGTTAAGCGTCTGCCTTCGGCTCAGGTCATGATCTCAGGGTCCTGGGATCAAGCCCCATCCTGCTCAGCAGGAAGCCTGCTTCTCCCTCTCCCACTCCCCCTGCTTGTGTTCCCTCTCTCTCTGTCTCTCTCTCTCTGTCAAATAGATAAAATCTTTAAAAAAAAATACATAAACACAGAAAATTACTGGAAGGACCCATATCAAAATATTTGTCACATAGTTATAGAGCTTTTTGTGTTTATTTGTGCTCTGTCCTTTTTAAAATGCTGACAGTATATATTACTTTAACATTTTATTGTGGTTAAAATGGTAAAGTATGTAAATGTTTACGGTGCAACCTGATGAATTTGTACACGTGTATACACCTTTATAACCACCTCTGAGATCAACGTGTACAATAGTTCCCTCTGCTCAGAGAGCTGGTATATATATATATATTTTGTGGAGGTAAAATACACAACACAAATCAACCATTTAAAATTGGGCAGGTCAGGGGCATTTAGTGCCTCAACAATATTGTGCAACCACCACTCCTTCTGGCACCAGAGCATTTTCACCAACTATCCAGAAGGAAACCCCAGCCCCATTTGGGGCCACTCCCCATCCGCTCCCCCAGCCCCTGGCAACCTCCGATCTGTGTTCTGTTTCTAGGATTCACCTGTTCTGGCTTTTAGTTTTATAATCAGAACAGTTGTTCTTTGTGACTGTCAAAGATCACTGGGGCTCTTTAGGGCCCTGAACGCAGCGGGCTGTGCTGTGGACGTCTCCAAAGACAGGAATGGGTTTAAGGGTGGACTTCCTGGAGGAGGAGGGAGGCTGGGGCTGTCTGCTGGCCACTTGCACCTCCCCCTGAACTCTTGTCCTCCAACAGGCCACTCATCACCATCCGCAAAGCCCACCTGCTTTCGAGGCTGCGGCCAGCCAGCGCCAACACCTATGAGTACCTGCAGCAGCAACAGTTGAGGTGAGTGGGCTGGGGGCGTGCCCCGCAGAAGCCCTCAGGAGCCCTCAGCCCTGCAGAGACGCCAAGTCCAGTCCCAGGGCATTGCCAGCCATCTGCAAGGGAGCCGTTTGGGGAGGTGGCTGGGGCAGCAGATGGCCTGGGAGAGGACACTGGCAGAAGGGAATGGGCATATTTATTGGACATCTATTATGGGCGGAGACCGTTGGGGAAGGATTCTCATTTAAATCTCACCACTCCTGTGAGCTAGGATGGACGTGCCCGCCTCCAGCTGGAGGAAGTAAGCGAGGGCCCTGGTCTCAGCTCACTGCACTGAGTGCTTTGTCCTAGCCGACCTCGGCAAATCCTTAAGCCTTCCCTTTGAGGTGTATTCTATCTTCACCACATTTTGTAGTTGAAGGAAATGAGGTTCAGAGAACTTCAGCCACCTGCCCAAGGTCACAACTAGTAAGTGGCAGAGTTGGTGCCTTGACCTGCAGTTTCCCAGCACACCTGGCAGGCTCCCTGGGTCCCGGCCCCACCCTCAACCTCCTGACTTCCCACGCTCTGTGGGTGCTTCCTGCACCTTGGCCTGAGATACTTCTGGCCAAGTGGGGAAATGAAGGCTGACCAACAATCACAGCCACATAAAGGGGAGAGCCATGGGGGCCTGGGCCTGCACCCCCACCTTCCTATGCCTGACTCCTTGAGATCACAGGTTAAAAGCCTTCTGTTGTCGGGCCAGACCAGGGCCCCCAGGGGTGGCTGGGTCTGGGGGAGCATAAGACTTGGTTTTCCCTTCTGCCCCGACTGCACCTGTTCGTATCCACCTGCTAGCCCAAAGTACCCCCCAAACTCAAGCTGGAAGAAATTCCAGTCTTGTCTTGCCACTGGGCGGGCCCTTGGGCCCATCCTGATGCTGCTTTGGGGCAGAGGGTTCTCCCAGCGCCTGCTGTCCTACCTGCTTACCCCAGGGAACACCGGCGGCTACAGCAGCTCCGGGACCTTGGAGACCAGCACAGTAGTCTGGATTCGCTGGGGTCCCAGAAGGACTGGGGCGATGGCCCTGGCAATTTTGCCAACCTCAAGTTCAACTCCTATGACTTGTCAACGCTCTACCCCTACGGGGACCCCGAGGTGTTGGACTATGACACCGTGAGTATGGCATACACCCTGGGGGTGGGTGACCCCGGGGAGGCCGTGCTCTGTCTGCTGATCCTCTGCATGTACCAGAGATGCAGGGGAGGACACTCCCTGACTTGGGGTCCGGGCCATCTAACAGGCTGAGGTGGACATTCTGGGAGTGGACGGGATCCTGTACAAGGGCCGAATGACCAACCAGGATGGGGCACGGCCTTTGACCAGCGTTGAGAAGGAGATGACAGGTGAGAGGTGTCAGGACTTCCTGGGAGTCTGTGTCCTAAATGTCCTGGCTTTGCTGGGGAGGATGAGGAGGTGCAGGCAGGGCTCAGAGCTGGCCCCTTCCTGGACTGGGGGGTCCTCAAACAGTCACTTGCAGAAATGGGGTTCTACTGTATGCCAGGCACTGCACCAGGCACTGGGGAGGTGGTGGGGAGCAAAGAAAGATGGGCTATCACCCCAGGGTTTCCACACCAGTGGGAGAACCAGACTGTGAGCAAATAACCTGAAGATGAGGCCCCATTGTTTGGAATAGCAATGAATAGCTGACCTGAGGGGAGGGGCTTGGAGACAAAGCATGCTGGCCTAGGGATGGGTGCCAGTGGCCTCACGAAAGAGGGATGCTGGGCTGGGGATGGGAGAGTTGTGAGAGGGACATCAGTCCAAGAAGAGGCCTCTGATGAGGGAATAGGGGTTAGCTGGCTAAAGAGGCCAGGTGGAAAGAGAGCAGTCCAGGTGGAGGGCATAGCAGGTGCAAAGATCCTGTGGTGGCTGGAAGCCAGGCACAGTTGGAACTCAGGAAAGTGAGTCAACCTGTGGTGGAGATTGGGAAGGGGTTGGGAATGATGAAGAGATGTGGACAGGCCCTGGAGGCTTGTGTCTTAGTGTCCCAGGTAGGTGAGGGTTGGGTTAGTAGGGGACACATGGAATCAGTTATTCTGATTGCTGCAGCATCAAGGCTCCCGCTCCAGATGGCTCCTACTGGGAACCCCAGTCCTTGGCTCCAGCAGTGGGCCGGCAGTACCAGAAGGGGTACATTCTGTGCACACCCTTCGGGGTTTTCTCCTTCTGGGAAGAGGAATTCTCAGTTTTGCCCTGGGTGGGAGCCATACACTGCCCCATGGCAGGGGGTGAGGGTGACCCTGGAGCCCCAAGGTGGCTGGAGGGTTAAATTCTGCCCATGGTATTCTTCTTCACCCCACATTGTCCTATTGACTGGAGGACGAAATACCAGACGCGTAGGGAAAGGGGACTGTTCCATTGGGGGTGCTGGACAAAGAAAGAAGAGCCCACATTAGTGTCCTGGGGCGGCTGCAACAAATGGCCACAAACTGGGGAGCTTGAGACAGCAGAATTTCTCACGGTTCAGGAGACTAGAAGTCCAAAATCAAGGTGTCCCAGGGCTGTGCTCACTCCCAGGGCTCTAGGGGAGGTTCCTTCCTGCTTTTTCCCGCTTGTGGCGGCTCCACGCGTTCCTTGGCTGGTGGCTGTGTCCCTCCAGTCTCCGCCTCCGTCTTCCCATGGCCTTCCCCCTGTGTCTTCTCTTCTGTCTCCTATAAGGACACTTGTCCTCCTTAACTAGGGATGAGCCCAAGATCCTTAATTACATCTGTGAAGGCCCTTTCTCCAAATAGGGTTATATTTATAGGTTCTGGGGGATGTATCTTTTTGGGGACCACCCATCAACCCAGGAGGGCAGGACACCATCCGAACCATGCATTCCCCCAGCATGGATCTGGCCCATGTGGCGTTCATGGCTCGTCCCAGACAAGGCTCAGCCCCCGGCAGCAGCTGCTGTTAGGTTAAGCCTCAGGGGTCACCAGGCAGGGTAATAACAATGGTGGCTAATATTTAATGAGCCCCAACTTATTGCCAGGCTGGCGCTGCCTCCTTCTTCCGGCAACAAACAGTTGAGGCATTGCACAAGGGCAGCTGAGGGTTGCTGGCTGGAAGTGCACCCTTGGTGGAGGGGCCCTTCTTCCTGCTCAGGCACCAGACAGGGCCCCTCTCCACCCACCTCCCCTGGGCTGTCACCCAGAGGGATGGGGCTTCTCTCCCCACGACTCATTCATTCTTGAGACCCATGCAGCAAAGCAGGCCTGAATCACAACACCTCAACTGCTTGGTCCTGCTTGGGGACAACAAAGCTTAGAAATCAATCAGAAACCTGCCTGTGGCCAGATCTTTTGACCAGATTGTTCTTATCGCTCATTTATTTACTCGAAAGAACATTCTAATCCAAAACAAGCTCGAAAGCTAGACCTAAATGAGCCCGCATGAGCCCCACCCCAGGTCCAACCTGGCCCCCATGCGTTCGTCTGTTCACATCAGCATCCAGCATGTCCTGCTGTTTACTCAGCCCTTTGCCAGGCCCACAGGAGACACTGAGGGGCAGCTGGGCAGCCTGTGCCCTCCGGATGCTTGCACTGAGTCAGGAGCTCAGGCCAGGGCAGGGGAACGGCTGGTCCCTAGTGAGCCGTGCCCCCACAGCAGGGGGATGGACGCGCCGAGACAGGTGGTCAGCAGGCTGGACTTTCAGAGAAGTGCCCTGGAAGGAAGGCTAAGTTCAGGCAGGACTTGGGTAGGACGGAGAAGGATGTGGCAGGGGCGGGCGCAGGCCTCAGCCCTCCTCACCAGCTCTGGGTGGACTGCCTAAAATGGACACTGCGACCGGGACCCTCCCTAGCTCAGAGTCCATCCCTATGAGTTTCCTATGGCTGCTGTAACTAATTCCCGCAAACCAAGGGGCTTAACCCAAATTTATTATCTTCGTTCTGGAGGTCAGATGTCCGAAATGAGTCTTACAGAGCTAAAACTAAGCTGTTGGCAGGGCCGGTTCCTTCTGAGGCTCTAGGGGAGACTCTGTTTCCTCCCCGTTTCCACCTGCCAGGGGCCTCGCTCCGACCTCACTTCCGTCCTCACCTCCCCTTCTCTGACTCGGACCCTCTGGCCTCTCTCTTCAGAGCCTTGCGATTACATTGGGCCATCTGGATAATTCAGGGTCCTAGGTTTTAGGGTTTAGGACGGGGACATCTCAGGGGCACTGCCCTCCGAGTTCAGGCTCCTTGGCCAATCTGGCAGGGGGGTGGGGGAGAAGGGGGTGCTTGTCCCCTGTCTGCCCCTCCCTCCAGCATTTCAAAACTGTTTTCCCGTCTGTCAGTGAGCCCAGCTGTCTCCCGCCTCTGGGCCTCTGCCTGTGCTGTGTGCCTGCCTTGAAGGCCTGGGGAACCTTTCTCATCTGCCAGAGCTTAGGGTCCCCTCCCATTGAGAGCCTCCCAGCTCCTCGGTTCTGGCTTCTGCAGAGGTGGGCAAGCCGCAGAGGAGGGCCTGGGAGGAGCAGGTGTCCGGGTCAGGTGTCGAGTTCGGGTTCTGACCTGTCGAGTCCAGGGCATCTGTTGGGTCAGAGCTGGGTTTCCAAGCCTCACTGGGCCTCGATTTTGAACCTGTGCCCTGGGCCCACATCCCTCACCTGGCAGGGAAGCAGTGAGACAGTCTCACTGGTCATCTGGTTGGCCGGTCCTGCCTCAGACCTGTGGAGGGATCCAGGTGCCAACTGGTGATCAGAGCGGGGGCCAGGGAGTACGCCTCAACTGGGCATTTGCTCTTCGCAGAACCCAGGAAGCACACTGGAGCTAGTTCTTAGTTCATACTCAAGGAGCAGTTGATGTAGACCTTGAGACAGAGTTAGGAATGCAAGAGGTTTGGGGTGGGAGGGTTACAAAGACAGGGGTGAGGAAAGGGAGGGAGCAAGCAGAGACCCTCAGATAGTAAGCAGATCTGATGAGGTCCAGGCCAGCCCTGTGGGGAGCTGAACAAACACCCCTGCGCTCCCGCCATTGGCTGGAGCTGCTAATAGCCCCTGAGGTGCCAACAGGTGAGACTTGACTCCTTTTGCTCCTGCGGCTGAACAGCGAGTTCTTCCTTAAAAGGGAATTTGTATAGCTGACCCTGCTGCCGAAAGGCCCTGGTCACTCAGCTGGTCATTCCCAAGCCCTTATTGGCTCCAGGTGTACTTTAGATACCACTGGGGAGACCCGATGTGGACAAAATAAAGTTATTGCCCCCTTAGAGTTTTTACCCCATGAGGGACCATAAGATATAAACTAAATAAATAATTAAGTGAGTAGGATGAAACATGGGAGTGAGGGAGAGGATGACCACTTGAGCTAAAAGACTCTTTAAAGAAAGGACATTCGAAGTGGGAATTGTCAGGACACCCAGGGAAGGACATAGTGTCCGGGCAGAAGGAACAATCCGGTGTCCTTCATGGGAAGGAGCTCGGTGCCCCTGTAACTCGTCTTGAAGGGCAGGCCTGGGCTCTCACCCGCATCTTCACTCTCACGGCCTCTGCCCCACCCCCACGGTCCCACCTCTTCTTGTGCAGCCTTTGGTCTGGGTGGCCGGTCATGGAGATTCTGGGCTGGACATGGAGAAGGGGATGCCTTGGGTTCAAAAGTGAAGGATGGAGGGCACCTGGGTGGCTCAGTTGGTTAAGCGACTGCCTT